CATTGTTCTGCTCTTGATTCTTGCGTTTTCTCTTTATGATTTGGCCTTAGCTGCAGAATTCTCATGGATATCAAATTGGTTTTCCATGTCATCCATAAACTAGTATGATCTGACTAAATCAGTCCATTAAATTACATTAGTAATTGAATAGATTGGTAGATCTTTCCGCCCTTGTAGAGTTTGAAGTTTAAGTTAAAGGTGTAGACCTAGTTCATGGTTACTATTAAGAGTCTCACATCGGATAACATATGACAGTCCTCGCCCTACCAACCGGTTTTGGAGGGTTGAGTTAGGCCCAACCACATTTCTTGACATGGTATCAGAGCCTATCCTAGATCCATTGTTGGGCTTCCCGCATCCTTAACACTTCGGGCTCATTGAAGCCCAAGCGTGAGGGGGTGTGTTGGACTTTCCGCATTAATTGCGGTCCGCCCCTAGTCGCCTTAATTGCGGCACTTTGGTTTGCCTTAATTGCAGCCCCAACACCTTCAATATGTTGGCTTTGAAGGGGTGAATTTAGTCCCACATTGGTTAGAGATATGGTTTGTGTTGTGTTTATAAGTGAGACAATCCTCACCTTACAAGCCGGTTTTGTAAGGATGAGTTAGGCCTAACCCAAATTCTGAGATGGCATCAGAGTCTTGGTTTAAGATCCGGTGGGCCACCTACTATGGTTTCCGCTATCGGGCCATCTGCCATTTATTTCCACACTCCAGTTGTCTAGTCCTGGGCGTGAGTGGGTGTGTTAAGAGTCCCACATCGGATGATATATGAAAGTTCTCATCCTACCAACCGGTTTTGGAGGGTTGAGTTAGGCCCAGCCACGTTTCTTGACAGTTATTGTTCCTTAAGGTGGCTAGGGAGTCTAGTCTTGAAGGGTATTATAGGTTTCTATTATGTTTTAGCTTTGGCTACCCTAGGTGCAATGTAAAATAGGACTTAAATTTCATGCTTAAGGTTGTGAACATGTTATAGCTCACTAATCAAAAGACACATGAATATGCTAAATGAACTTCGAATTTATTTTGCTATCTAATTTTCAAAATACCGAGTAAATATATATTTTGGGGAGTGTTGTCAGATACAAGGCACCGTGTCATCTGTAAAGAAGGCCCTCATTGCTGTCGCTGGCCGACTTCAAGATTCTCCTCCTGACAGAACAAAAATTATGGGAGCCAGACCTAATGAAGTATCTCAGCATGAAACTTCTGCCGTTCCCCATGAGGGTTTAACTGAACCGAATATGGATTACCGTCTGCAAAAGACCTCTGCATTATCTACCTCACCCATTAGGTCTAATGACAGTGCCTCTAAAGTTCAACCGTTGTCAGCTGAAGCTAATAGAGTCTCAGCCCTGGATCCGGAAGCACTTCAGCAGGAAGTTACCTTTAGAATTCTTTGTTCGGGTGATAGGATTGGCAATGTAATTGGGAAAGGTGAAAGTACTTTGAAAACTCTTCAGAATGAAACAGGAGCTGCTATTAGGGTTGGTCCTCCAGTATTTGAATGCGAGGATCGGCTAATTACTGTTACTGCTTTAGAGGTTTGTCAAATATAATTGTTTTTCTTATTCGTTTGTTTCTTATCTTAGTATTCCAGTATGTGTATTATTAAGTGTACTTGTTAATTTTCCTCTTTCTGATTTCTTCTTTTTTCGGCAGAATCCTGAATCAAGATTTTCTCCAGCACAGAAGGCTGTTGTGCTTGTTTTCTGCAGGTCTGTTGAGGGTTCTGTTGAGAAGGGGCCAGACTCGCGATCATACAAGGGGCCATCTGTCACTGCACGACTTGTAGTCCCATCCAACCAAGTGGGTGTTTTGTTGGGGAAAGCAGGAGCAATAGTCACCGAAATCCGGAAAGCCACATGGACTAACATCCGAGTAATTGGGAATGGTCAAGTTCCAAAGTGTGCATCTTATAATGATCAAGTGGTACAGGTGTGGAGATCATTTGTTTTTTGGATTTACAATCAAAAGATGCTTAAGAATGCTTTTATATTTTCTTAACATGTCATTTTCTGTATTCTGTTAAGTTTAAGAAGAAAATTTTTCACCCTTTAAAAAAATTAAGAGTTTTCTCATTATTCATCATGCTAAATTAACAGTGCCTAATACACCAATTTTCTTTTCTGCAAAAAGCCCAAAATTTTTTAAATTGCAATTCATGTGTATGAATGTGGTCCCTTCCTTAATTATAAGATCAGTTTATTTATTTATTTTTTTGTCCCTTGATGTAATTTTCTTCTCAAAAATTCACATGCATTAATCATGTTTCTACCGAAATCCCCCTATTTAATTTACAATTGGGAAACAATTTTATTCTTTCTCCTATTATATCATTAATTGTAGGATTAGTTATGAAAAAGTAACACTTATTTCTTACAAATATATTGCCACTACTGTTTTTCCTCAATACCTTTGAACTTTGTAAGTAGCTCTTATAATAATGAACAGAGGGAGCAATATCTATTTCTTCATTGGTTGAAATATGTTTGTTTAAAGGCTTCGATAAACTGTGTATCCTGTTCATCATTAACATTTAGGTTCTTGGCGCTGCTCATAGTTGCTATGATATTTTATGCGTCTACTAGTGGTTTTATTTTTCCAGCATTAAGGGTTTAGTAACTTCCGTTATTTTCATACTTCATATCTTATGCTTTGACTGGTTTGTAAGTAATAAACAGATAGGGTGTACCTTGTCTGTCTAAACATGGTATGAGAAATATAAGCTATTTTTTTCTCTTTTATGGAGGGAAAAGGTAACATTTTAAATTTGAGACTTTTCTTTTTTATCTTATTATATACCTGTACCCTTTAAATCACCTTCATATTAGTCAAAATGATATCGATGGTCTTCCTGATGCATGCATATATCAGTTATTGCAATTTGTATTTTGTGGCTGCTCAGTTTTCCTTCATGTGTTTGCATGATCGGGAAATCTGATCTTCACACTTTTCAAAGATGATTTACACAATTTCCTTGGCAAAAGGTGTAGTGATTGTAACATATGCTATGATAATTCAACATATTTTCTTGTTGTATACAAGCATTTACTTTCACCTCTTTTCAGTAATCACAATGCGTGTGTGTTGCTATACTTTGTTTACAAAGTCCACAATCTTGTGGTGACTTCAGGCATTTATTAATTCCTGTATCTTCGCTCATTTAATCCCTCAGATAACAGGTGATTTTCCAAATGTTCAAGATGCATTATATAAAGCTACTAGTAGACTGCGAGATCATCTTTTTCCCATAACACAAAACAGTAATGGAACTGGTTCCTACAGGATTCTGAGGGACTCCATTCCTTTAAGTCTTGGAGGCCAACCCGTTCTTGGTGTTAATCATGACCTCAGTGTTCATTCTTTATCTCAAAGCATAGATCATCTGACTCTTTCTCAAAATTTGGACCGATCTTCTGCACCAGGGGTAAGGCCACCAAAGGTATGACTCTTTCTCTCTATTGGCTGTTTTTCCTTTGCAAGTTTTCCCATGTTATATGAATAAATTTGATGACAGACTGTGGGTGGGATAAGTTCTGGATTCCCTGATGATGTGAGCAGGAGATGGAATCCTCATAAAGGTGGCTTAGAACTTGGCAGGTTGGTGTTATATGTGCAAAATACGAAGAAAAAAAAACAGCTTTAATATGAATCAATTATTTAATGAAGAACACACCATAGGCCTTCCTAGCATCATATGATCAAAGATCTGGATGACTAGGAAATGGTACTTATGTTTTGTGTGCCTGCATGATATTGTTGGTTTGTGTCTTTGAGCTCATACTTTCATATTCTGATTATTACCCTTTTTTGGTCTGCAGTGGGAGTGCAATTTCTGTTGTAACTAATACAACTGTGGAAATTATGGTTCCGAATAATGTTATTGGCCGTGTATATGGGGAAAACGGTAACAATCTGAATCAATTGAGACAGGTGCCTAATTTTGTATAAGTTTTTACACATAAACCTATAGTTTGTTTGGTTGCTTACAAGCTTGTCGTGTTAATTATTGTGAACTTGCTTCTGTGATCTAATTATTTGATTCCATAATTGGTTATCTGCTCAAAATTTTGTTCCAAGATAAAAACCATGCATTGATACTGAAAGTACTAGAAACTTTTGCTGCTTTATATTGTCTCGTGCTTACATGTTTTTCTCTGGATATGTGGCATTGTTCTTATGAACATTGTGACTTGTCGAGAGATATTGTGGAAGGCGCCTGAAAACTGTCTTTTTAACTAGTTGTGTTCTCATTTTCAGATATCAGGGGCCAAGGTTACCATCCATGAAGCTCATCCGGGAACAAGTAACGGAACTACGATTGTCCTATCGGGCACACCTGATGAAACCCAAGCAGCGCAGAGCCTTCTCCAAGCATTTATTATCAATGGATCATCAGCATAATATCACCTGGCTGATGCCCCATAAATTTTCAACAGTTTTCAATTTTGTCAGACTTAGTTTTCCCATTTTTGCAAATAAGTTTTTGACCTCACCGAAAAGCATGTACAGGTCATTAATTTTATGCCGCCAATAATCTTTTGATAAATCAATTCAGCGCAGGCCATTCATTGATCGGTAGTATACTGTCTCAATCCTGTGTTAAACCATTCTTTTGGAAGTATTTTCCTGATAAGGATGTCATGCCATGTCTTGATTCAACTACTGAATGTAGTTTTATTTCATGGTTTTAGACAAACTTGCCTTTAAATATTCACATGTCATATATTACAAACTAAAACTTATATATATATAAGAAGGTAATTATAACACATTGATAGTGGGGTTTCGTTGCACAAAGTTACAACTCAAATATGTTGGTTTTACAATTGATATACAAACCAAATGGTAATGAGTTTAGGAAGAGGTACATATCATAGTTCTCTTCTCAAACAATTTTTCATAAGCCCTTACCCAACGTGCATATATTTTACACACAAAATCACCCAAAATAGAATCACACCAGCCAAGGATGATCAATGATCCTCCACGTTTGAATCAGTTGACAGCAGCAGGGGAAGGATTAAGAGTGATTACCACATTATCATGGACTCCCTGCAACAGTAGCTCACCCTCATATGCAACTACCTTCCGCTTTTTGGCTGCTCTTAGCGTGCCAACAAGCGCTTCAAAAATATTTGCGCATCGATCATCATGAAAGAGTGTTCCGAATGTAACCTTCACAATGAATTGTGTCATACATAGTATCAAAAACACAGACCCATCTTAAGTTTATAGGTGAACTACAAATTAAACATAGATGTGCATCGACAAGACATACCATATGCGTTTGGACCAAGATCCATATTCTATGTAACAAGCTTTAAATCACAAAATAATGATACGATGTTTAGAGCTTACTTCAATGTTTGTTTACGCCGAAAAGGGCAATTATGCATCTCTAGATACATTCGTAATTATACATATGTTCGTGAAAACACATGTTTGTTATGATATTTCCCAATAGAGAATAGATCTATGAACAAATGAAGACCTAATATGGTGATTGATCTTGTGATCTAGATCCATAAGAATAAGAAAGTTACCACATTCAATAAATACAACATATTGATAAATATCTATCAATAGATCTCGATCTGAGTCAAGTGTTTAATTAAAGGGCTTATTTATATGCATCATGAAAAAATATATATATGGATTCTAAGGAAAATATTGAAGAATATAGAAAGATGAAGATAAAGGAGGAATCGTTTTGTTACCTTGTAAGAACCATCTGTTTGAACCTCTCCAAGCCTCTTGATTTCTTCTCTGAGCTTTTCAACCTCTTCTTCTACATTCATCGTTACAATATTCTTCTCGGACCAACAAAAACAGGAAAGTGTCTTTTGTTTATGTGTGAAGTTTTTGTTCAGCCTAAAAGCATTTTATATTTTGTTGTATGATATTTTTTGTATTTACATCTATATACAACTTACTAAATGAAATGTATGGTGGACTTTTGATAGATTAAAGTAATGTTTGGAGTACCAATAATTTGTGGGGCTTTTCAAATACTAAACTATAATAAGTGTATTAAGTGATAAATAATTATGAGAAAATAATACTAATCATTTTTATATCATTTAATTAAAGATAACTGTTAGTATAAAGTTTAGGTGATGTTTTATAGATGTTGGTGCTTGTCACCAAGTATATTTTTTATTAGGGAGGGGTTGAACATGTGATTATGGGAATATGAGCTAATTCCTTTTATTAGTTCCACTAAAAAAATATTTAACATAATTTTAATTTATTATATATAAGAAAATTTAATTTTTTTCTGAGGGTTTTTTTCAGGTTGATATTGTGAGGTAAAAAGCTTTGTTTGAGAATTTCTTTATTTATATATATATATATATATATATATATATATATATATATATATATATATATATATATATATATATATATATATATATATATATATATATATATATATATATATATATATATATATATATATATATATATATATATATATATATATATATATATATAACGTAAAAATACTAAAATGTTTTTAGATATTGGAAATGCATTTTCGGATGCATCTAATTTTGATTTAATGTTAAAATATTTCGGAGATGTATCTTCAAACTTATTCTGGAGATGCATCTCCGAAAGGTATTGCAGATTAAATGGCGTCAGAATCCTTCTTCTTCCTCATTTATAAAAAAAAATACAAAGTTTACTCAAACTTTATTAAAGTGTTTTCCATTAGCCAACTCCCAAAATCAAACAACCAAGCTCAGAGATTCTATGATTAGCATCAAGTTCATCAGAGACATCATCAAAGTGTGAAGTAAACTCTAAATTTGTAAGTTTTTTGATGTTTTGAAAAGTTTTTTAGTTTTTGTGGAAATGAGTAGAAATTGCATGAATGATAGTTTAGACATATTGTAAAACATGTTTGTTAGCTGAAAATGATGATCAAACCATTATTTTTGGACTTTTCATGTATGCATTGCTGCCTTTGACGGACCTAAAGAGTTGCAGAAAATTTCGGATATGCATCTCCAAATTTTTTAATGTTTAAGTTTCCTAATAACCAGAGATGCATTTCTGAAAATTAGCAGTCTATTTTATTTTTTGCTTTTCTTTCTTGTAGTCTTGCTTGCTTACACTAATTATGTGATTTACTTTTACTTACATGTATTATAGTTGATAGACACGATAGATTGAGGCATTGAAGGATTGCTCATCATGGATCAATGTGGCGGGAGAAGAGTCTGGTTTCAGAGGCTCATGTTCACTTTGGCCATGTGAAGACATCTATTTTTGGGGCTCATGCTTCTCCATTTTCTTCTTCCTGTAGGAGATGAGTTTCACCTACTGAAGCATCGCTCTCTCCATCCTCTCGCAGGCTTCAGGTTTCACATATTCAGACACCAGAGGTACTGAGTCACCGGTGGTACCGGAGGCACCAGTGCCACCTCCGACAGATCTTCTGAGATAGTGTCGTCTCCGACTGTTGAGCCAGTGCCACCTCCGGATGGTGAGGCTGTTGAGGATGCTGAGCTAGAGCCATTTGAAAGAGGCGTTGTAGAGTTGTCACCATTGCCTATGTACCTAGACCATACTGCCATACATATCTGGGACGGAGAGGTAGCATTAGTTAGATTCATTCTTTTTAATTTACGTTTATTAATATATTACAAGTTTCTAACATTGATTTATTTTTCTGCAGTACCGTGATCTGCTGAAGTTTATTAACCATATGCGAAATATTACTAGCTTGCCTTAGTTAAATGAGGAGTGGTTTTAAGCAGCTTTGTCCCTATCTAAGATAAAAGATTTGTGCAAGATCGATTATATTACGTTCAACCATTGAATGCTTAATGCACTCGTGGAAAGATGACACATGGAGACCTCGTCATTTTATCTCTCGCTTGGTGAGATGTCTATCACACTCGACGATGTGTCGTGTTTGCTATATCTCCCGATCATGGGAAAACTTTTAGATCATTGGAGGATTAGCAAAGACGAGGCACTCAAGTTGATGGTATATTATCTGAGAATTGGCCTAGAGGCTACGGTGTTAGAGATTAAGAGAGTTGGAGGGGCTCATGCTAGGTTTAAATTCTTGAAAAAGGTATATACAGATGAGTTCCTCAGAGCACAATAGGCTATAGGGGATGACGAGCAGGTGTGACTCCATAGAGTGTATGCTATGAGAGCATACATGCTATATTTGGTTGTCACTATGATTTTTATGGACAATAGTGTCACTTATATAGATGTCGTCTACTTACGATACTTTGATGACTTTGAGCGGATCCATGAGTACAACTGAGGGGTCGTTTATTTGGTCTACTTGTACTTGAAGTTATTATAGAGTTGTAGGTGAAAGACGAAGCAGGTCACATGCAACATCTCACTATTGACGATAATATTTATTGGTCTTTTAATCTTTGTGTCATTTTCATTGCATCTTTGCAATGCCCTTACTGATGATTCGTGTGTTCTAAACTTTTCAGACTTAGATTCTCTAGCACTTTCCGCGTATTTTCTATTGGGCAGGTGTACCGACTTACATTGAGGATATGTTGCATGCTACTGCATTTTCCCCACTCAGAGGGAACCGGGCAATAGATTCGTTCAGAGTGTATTTGATCACTTAGTTGTCAGAGACATGCACTTCAACAACTATGTTGATCACGATGAGACATGGACATTTAACAATATAGTTTTATACTCAGGATGGTTGGCTTGCGGGTCACGTCTCACTACTCCTCATCCGCCCGAGTGCGTGATGCGACAGTTCAGCTACACTCAGATCATTCTCAGACATCATGTTGTCTCTGCTCCCTCCTTCTTTAACACGTTGAAGAACTTAGTATCTTCTCAGCATGATCTAATTGTGCCAACTCATTAGGAGATACTAGAGAAGGAGAAGGCACAATTAGATCATGCTGAGGATATCTTGCCTAACTGTCGTCGCATAATGGAGATTACGCAGGCAGGCATTGACAGAGGTATCTTCTCTGATGGGTCTGATGTAAGGCATGTCCTATATGCCATCATGACGGAGGCACACGTGATATTTATGTACCAGAGACGGTGCCGGAGGATGGGGTATTAAAGGCCGAGGAGCCATAGAAGGTAGGGGAGATGTAGTTTGGATTCATTATGGATTGTATTTTATTTTCACTTCACGCTACTTTATCGTGTATTTCAAATTTATTTATATATGTCATTTTTGGACCATCTGGATTTATATACATCATTTTTTGCATATCGATTGTATGGTTTAAATCTCGTCACATGACATGGTACATAATGTTTATAAATCTTCAGTTGAATAAACATAAACAAAACATAACATGCATTGTGCTGATAGGTTACGAATATGTATCTTCATATAATAAACAAATATGCATCTCCAAAATCATAAACGTGTAAAATGCCTTATGAGTGGGATGCATGGTGTGTGGTTTAAAATATTACAGAGATGCATCTCTGACTCATTTAACCTTTCAAGGTGCGTTCGGAGATGCACCTTCGAAATCTGAGGGGCATTTTAGATTTTTTAGAGGGTATTTTTCCATCCCATTGGGTGGGATAAGAATTTTCCCTTTGTTTTTGGTAGTTTGGACTTTGGGCTGACTTTGTCATGTAATAGGTTAAGATTATTCTTTTCATTCTTAGAGATGTTTTCAACCACCGTGAAAAGTCTCAACTGCACCTTTTTTTATATACTTGTAAATGTAAATTGATAAATTATCTTTATTTTGCTAAAATTTAGTTCGGAGATGTATCTCCGTATCAATATTATGGTGAGCCTGGAGATCCATCTCTAGACGCACCCAAATTAAATTCACCTAATGTATGAGCCACTTTTATTTTACTCAAATTTAATTCACCTAATGTATGAGCCACTTTTATTTTACCCAAATTTAATTCGAATATACATCTCCGAAATATTTTAGAAATACTGGTCTATTTGTTATTACTAAACAACCATAAGTACTCTTGAGTCATACTTGGTATCACTAAACAACCATTCAATCAATTTAAATACAAATTTTAACAATGGTATGCTAAAATCAACATCAAATTATTAAGAGATGGACTTTTAAAGTCTTAATGTAAATTAATTTCATGGAAAAATTCACAAAATAATCATCTTATAAAAAAAATGAAATATCATTATTAGATGGAATAAGTCTTTACTAATTAGTAGATGCTTATGGATAAAAAAACATTAACACAAAAATACTACTATTAAATGTTGTAAGATCATTAGCCTTGTATTTTATTCATCCATGAACTCTTTTTTTTTCATGTTAAGTTGCAAGACCTTTGGATTTTTATTTTATTCACTCATTACTTTCTCTTTCCATATTACATAAGTGCATTCATGAAAATATTCAGATTTAATTTGAATAAAATGGGGTGGCTTACTCATGAATTATTGAGCTTTTAGATGCTTTTGGAGCAACATTTTAAACACTGAATCGAAAATCAAACTGATAAAACTTATAATTTAAGGTTCAATTGGTTAAACATACAGTCGAACTGTTTATTAAATAAACTAATAATATAAAATTAAATTTCATAGAAATGTCACATATTATTATATGTTCTCACCTTAATAAAATAAATATTTCAAAAATTCATTACAAATTTAATACAATAATATCAATAATACATACCATTAATATAGTTCTACACTTCATTTCAACCATCATTAAGAATACTTTGACCAAACTAAAGAATCACAATAAAATAAATTAAACTAATTCAAATCAAGATTAAAAAAATAGAACGTAATAACAAAAATAAAAGTTCAAATAATTAA